TGCCTCTCCAGCCGATGAATGAAGCAATTCCCTCCCCAGACTCATGATCACACCTACATCCACGATATACCAGAGAACTGGGGAGTGGCTCACGCAAGTCCCACAACGGCAGCATCCAAAATCAGAGCCTGCGAGAACCTTCCTTTCTTCTTCCCTCTCCCCCCCCCCCCCCTTCCCTTTCCAATTGCATTCAATGCACCTCTTCTTGGATTAAGGGGAAAGCCATCAATGAAAAAAACTAAGAAGAGGCATACATTCAATTCAATGGAAAGCGAGCGCTGAGGGAAGGTAAGCCTTCAGGCAGCACATGAGAAAAACAAAGAGGTTTCCATCGATTACACTTCCTGTTGAGTCACTTCCAAGCCAAAAGGAAGGGACTATTAATCACCAGCTAGGTCTTGTGATTAAACATCATCATCATCATCATCATCAATGGCGGCGACGCCGCCAATGATCCCTTTCTTTTCTTCATATATGAAGACATTCATTCTTGGATGCTAAAGAAGACACTTTTACTCTCCTGCAAACTGAGAACACTTCATGTACACTAACAGGTGAATTGAGAGGGGAGAGAGATGCCTGGCTTTCACGCTGTTCAATTCGGAAGGTGACTGGAGTCACTCGAGAGCCATAAGCATAAGTCACACAGATAAGGAATAAGCGTGTGGGTGGCGAAGAGAAGATCCCCACACAGACAATGCATTTCCACTAGCGTCTCGTATAGTTTCCGGCTTTTTCAGAGAAAGGGGTCGCTCCTAGCGAGGGAAGACCAACTTTCCCTCCAGCACCTCATCCTTCTGATACAGGTAAGGCCGATCCCCTTGGGTCGGACATCGGTTTCCCTTCGCTGAAACCCCTGCCCACCAGGAACTGATGGGGTTCACCAGTGTGAGGGTGGGCAGTCTGGGAACGGGTCAGATGTCGAGGGATCTCTTTTGCAAGTCATACTCATGTCATAAGGGTTTCTTCCGAGTTTTTTTGCCCTCCTGCGGTTCCTTCCTCCCCTGGAGGAAGGAAACCTCCCCAGGGTTTCTCTGCACCTTCCATGTGACCGCATCACACATCACATGCAGGTACTTCCTTCTTCTGCCTTCTCTTCCACTTGATCCACATTTTCCACAAGAGTTAATATTACCTCCTAGATGTCAGACCAGAGGGCACTTACATCAATTAAATCAAATGCCTTTCTATGTTTCACGTTCACAACAACGTGCTGAGGCGGCATGATTACAATATCCACCATCATCGGGAACAGTGAACACAATTCTTGGAAAAATGTTCAAATTACGAATTGACAAGTTTGTACTACAGATCAGGGGCCATTCTCAAATGCGCAAATATCATCCAGGGAAAGATACATCAGGGACACATCAAATGCATCCAGATTTGAACGTTACATAAGGAGAACTTGAAGGACAAGGCTTCCTTGGCTGTCGTTATTACGACATTGGAATGGAATTCGAGAATGCCACTCCAAGTGAGGACAAGTAAGACACGACCCCTAACACGTTCCATGTTCCCCAGCAGTGTTCGACCAATTTCTGAAGCTTTCGTGCACCTTCTCCACCCAGAAGGTTGATGAGATGGGGGGGGGGGGGAGTGGGCTAGTAGATGTGGTATACCCAAGTAAAGGACAAAACGACATATCAAGCGAGATGGAAAATATCCTGACTAATTTCCGAACTTGCGCAACCGGTATGCGAGGTGCCGACTGAAAGCTTTGAATCGGAACAGACTTGTTCTTTGTATCGAGCTTGTCAATCAATACATTTCACAACATTTCGAAACAATGGAAGGAACGCATTGGACACCTCCTGAGCTGCTTTCACTTTCATATCCGAAGAAGTGCCTGCAATGTACAGGAGAGCATCAAGCATCGAAAAAGAACGTTAGGTGTGACGTCAAAAGCATTAAGAAGCTTTTCTTGTAACTGGCACGAGCGCATTTTTCTTCGTTTTAAAGAGTTATGCATGAATAGTATGAATGTACTTGAAAAGTCCATTCTTTCTGCGAAACGGTTATTGTTCCATAACGTCATTCGATAATCGCCCTTTATTCATTATGATCTCATACAACATTATTGATGATACTACTATGCAATCCGCACTTCCCAAAACCCGGAAGGGCAATGGGGGGAAAGTTCAGAGTCTCATCGGTGATTAAAACTTATGAGCAAGCATAATAATCACGAGGATGAAACGGTACTTGCAGGTATGCTTGTGACAAAAGGTACAATAGTTTCGCAATTTATTGTCGTACTGTCTGCAATGTTTCCCTGCGGGCAAGTACAACAGAAAAAATGAATGTTTCCTTCGTAATTATCAAGATGTATCGAATCAAATTGCACTTGCACAAGAGAAATTGTGCTTAATAATTCTTCATCGATAGATCAAAACAAATTCATCATAGATTTGCTTCTTGAGACGGCTAAAAAAAAATTATCCCTTCTTTCAACATGCAAAAAAAAGTATTTGTTCTTGTAAAAAGGCTTATTGCTGTCTGTGGGTTAAGATGATTTTCAAATTTGTCCGTCTTTGGTATGAATGTCACATTATCGCAATTATTCCACACTAACTCTCTTATAAGGAATTTGTTTTCATGCGAGACTCAATAATTTTCTGTTCTACTAGGAAATGTCTCGACTAGTGAGAAGTGAAAATCTATCCAGGCAGTATCTCAGTCGTTACCGTCCTCCACAAAATCATTTTTTTATTAGTCGATACCTTTTCAATTGCTTCCATTATCAATGAATATCAGTCATTTGCAAAAAGTGTCTAATCGTTCATAATTCTGATTTACAGCGTGCTTCAATCATGCATTACTTTAAAGTTCGGGCCCCTCGAAGGTGCTACCCATTTTTAACATCTGGTCGAAGCACGAACAAGCCCTAGTTTGTGATGATTAGGGGGAAAACAGAGACAAGGGGGAAGGTTGGATGACGTAAGAAGCAAATTGGGCACAGTCCAAGAGACTGGAGAGCACCAGCAGACACTTAGTCGCCGCCAGGGCTGGCTGGCTGGCTTTCTTCTGCGCGACCATGCCGCGCCGTGACGTAATGAATACATGCTGCCTCACGCTGAATCTCGCAGTCCTCAATCGTGTCTCTCATCCCCTTTAGGGCTTCCTCCATTCATAACTTTTTCTTTCTTACATCTGCCTCATACTCAGGCAAATTTCCCCTCAAGAACCCCCGATACGAGATAAGGAAATCGGCTAGCCAACACGATACGTCATCATCTTGTCACGGATGAATGGACAGGAAAGATTATCCCTCTAAAATTCTTCGTTCACGGCTGAACGCATTCTAATCGCAGTGATATCAGATCCCGCAACTGCCTGCTTGGGGGCCAGCAAACCGACGGTTTAGATATAAGGATCCAAAATGAGGCCATTTCCCATCTGGGCCACTCTCGCTTTCCTCTCTCTTTCTGTACGAGCGATGACGACGAGAAACGAGGCAGATTGGAAAGGAAGTTCTGTCATTGCGCAATCCGGGGCAAATCAAATTGTAACTTGGTCGAATCGAGCCTCACAGTGGACTGTCTCTGGAAACGAATGAATTGGAAAATTATCGCCGGTGCCTGAGGCAAGGAGGCCGAGAGCGGGACCACACCCCTATCATTGCCTTGAGACAGTCTCTTAAGTCTCGTCCCCTTTTTCCCCCTCTGTCGCATTCGTCGCACACTTTGTAGGATAATAATAGACATGAATGGCGGCGATAGTTTGCCGGCTGCATGACCAATGGAGGAACACGGTGAAAGTATTAGGGATGGAGTTTCGTTCGTTGCTTCCTTCCTTCCTCTCTCTCCTGACTTGTTGGGCTCGTCTCGGCGGGTGAAAGTGCCCGTTTCCCACTTGCCTCTTCCGTAGATGGGCAGAATCTGCTCGTTCCAATGTATCATCATTGTCGTCAACGTGAATGTCTTCACAATCACCTCTTTCACGCCGACTAATGAAGGGAGCATTGAAAAGCAAACCATTCTACATCTTCAGATTTCTTGAGGATGATCCTCCACAGAGATCCTCCTTCCCATTGCAAATACATACAGCTCATTTTTCTACCTCGACAATCAAGCTGTATATCTACACAGATCTGCCGATCCGAATAAAGCTTAGAAACACAATTGCTATAAAAGTGGGACGACACCTCGACCGCTCGGAAGCATGCATTTCAGCAGGCCGGATTTCGAAAGCGAGTAGAAATATACTCACACTTCGAATAGATTGCCCCTAAAGTAATGCAATTTCGTGAGCCCAGACACATCTCGTTAGCTCCTTACTGTAATTGAGGGGAAATGCTACGAGAAAGGAGGCGGAAGTGCTGCGATGGGTACAAGTATTCCTGCTCAGTGAAGCTGAACCAATCGATCAAATCTTGACAAGATTCTTGAAATATCATGTCCATGGTTCAACCTCTACAGTAAAGAGAAATGGGATTCCAACTATGAGAAACCTTCTCAGAATGCGGTCGGGGTATTGACGGTTCTTATGAGCAGCTTGCGAGCGCTGTCCGACATGAAGGCAGCTCATTAATTGGACACTATCATACAATGTGATCATTTAATGACAGATCGGATCAGAAAGATATATTGGTATAGTTTTTGACGGCGGGGAGAGGAATCACGGGGCTTTTGCTTTTCACCTCCGTAAGAACACGTCCATGATTGGGACACATGAGGAGTGAGCATAATTAATATGTTTTACTGCCGTAAAGCATGTGGCAGAATGCCATGAGTGCTGGCATTCCATGAGCCCTGAAGGGCATTGTCAGGTCAAGGGCCGCCCGTGCCAGAAAGTCGTGAACAGCCCTTTGATTATGCATTATTTCATGATGTCTCTATGATGCATTATTGGCCATGGAGTACCACTCCAACAGTCATGCATCAGGTGAAAATAAAAATCAAGACGATTTCATGTAGACTGCGTTGTTTTTCATCTGCATCTGCGTTTGAGGTGCGTGGGCTTACTCATGCGAAATGTGGACATTTTTCCTCTTTCAGGGATCGATTCATCATGAGCGTGTTCGAGGCCCTACTCTCCACGATGGATGCCAAACTCAGAAGAGTCGAAAACCTAGACAAGGCTGTGGAGCACCTCATGAGGAAGATGGAAACTCTATACAGCCATGTCAATCAAAATATCGTCAAGACTGAGCAAGTGCTCTCCAAACTCCGGGCTTTTGACACTAAACTCTACAACGTCGGGAACGGAAAGGCCGTGGAGGCCTTGGACATGCGGATGGTATCACTCGATGAGAAAGTGAACGTTCTGGATAACAAAATCAGCGTCCTCATGGACAAACTGAACCAAGTGTGGCGCGTGTCTCAGTCGTCAGACAGGGACGAACTTCGGGAAGAAGCGAGTGAGCGACGCATCGTTCGGATCGATGCCACCCCGGTCAACCAGGATATCCAAGCAGTAAAAGACAAAGTCAGTGAGATCGAGAACAAGCTGGAGGTCCTTAAGGGCGAGGTTACCCCCATGGTGGGATACTTGGTCAACTCCGTGACGGAGATTCACAATGCCGTCATCGAGGTGACGGGCCATGAAGAGAGAAGCACGACGACGACGACTACGACAACAAGCAGCAGCGTTGACCCCAGGAAGAGCAATGTGACTGGCCGCGGTAGCGGAGGGCGGTTGAGCCGCATAGACAGACTCATTACTCGGGTGGACCCCATCGCCAGTGTGTCTGAGAAGATGGACGAAGTGTGGAATGTTGTCGTCGGCACGAAAAGCTCCGTGGACAATTTGGTCCCCAAATCTGAACAGCTCTTAGACAAAACACAGCGGCAGGAGAGGGCAATCTCTGAAATTCACTCCGATCTCAAGAACAAAACTGACAAGGTAAGCCTCTTCCTTTCTTCCCCTATATAATCATAACAAGCATACACAGTGCAACAACACGTGGAAAGCAGCAGGACTACAGGATTTTTTTTCCTTCACAACACATAACACGGAAACGATTCTGTCATAAGTGCCATTGGTCTTGTCTATTGTCACTACGTGATCGGGATACTAGATCCGAGAAAGAAAGGAACTTCCATTTTTGGAAATCACTTGTCTTGTTATAAGGGACGCATGAACCACACATTAATCCGATGCGAGCCTCGTGCATTAATACAGCTTCATCTAGAACTAAATTTCTGGTTGATGCTGTAGAGGGGGGAGGGAGGCAGAAGTACTGCGCTTCTTTCGGTATACTCTATGAGAAATCCTCCCAGACCAAGTCCCCCTCCCAAGACTCCCAGTCATCAAATATAAATAAGTGGGACCCATCACGTCCAAGCATATTGGATGTAAAGTGAAGTATATGTATAAGACAGAAAAAAGATTTTGCAAAAAGATCCACGCATTCCAGGCGCACAGAAACTACAGCATTCTGGTCTGAGGCTTATGCAATGCGATACAGTTTTATTTGCAGGCAGACATGACCTCAACAGTGCTACGCTAAATGTCCTACCAGCAATGATTCTTGCTTTATCCACGTTCAGATAATCGAGAACCTCTACATGGTGGAGAGGACGATCAGAGAGAAGTCAGGGGAAGGAGACTTAGGGAAAGAGCAAGCCTTCCGAGCCGTCATAAGATCACAGCCAGCGGATGGCGAACACACAGACGGCCCCCAAGTCTTCATCCATAGCGACGTGGATGAATTACCGTTACTGCCAATCATGGAGCCACCAGAATATCCAACTAGGGACAGAGGGTCCAGCTCGGAAGAGGAGACTGAGGAGCCAGTGGATGGGCCCTCTTATCACTTCCCAAGCATTGTCTTCCCCAGTATCCTCAGGAAGCCCGCATTCCTCGGCAACAATTCTACTGATCCAGCTCTCCTCAAAGGAACCGGATACAAGGTGCGAATGCATGTTCTGAAATATAAACTCCGCATTTGCAACGTCAGTAAATACTGCTCCTCGAAAGGAAGCGTAAAGTATATCTCTTTCTCCCATTGTGTCTGGTTTCTGTCAAACATTCGGTGGTTGGCAAAAGATCAGTTTAACTTAAACTGATCTCACTTAATGACAGTCTTTCGTGGGAATTAGCTTAATTGGAAGAAGCTGATTCTATTGGAAGCTTATTATGAAATAAAGTCAAATCGATATCGTGCATACATCCCAATATGAGCGAATTGCAGTAGATTGGGTTAACAAAAATGCAATTTTTATCCCAGAATGTGATCCGTATGTTAAACTAATTTTTATATGAGCCAATTGTGAAATCACATCTGCTTGAGTGAACGGCGACTGGTGCATTCCACCCTAAAAATGACACTCGAGGCTAAAACTGAAAGATGAAACCGAAACACATGATGTAATGGAGGAAAAAAAAAAGTTGATCCAACCTGTAATTACTCCACCAAACTTTCATGAAACTTGTCATTAACAACAGTAATCTAAAGTTGTGACGAGAGGATGGGCCGAGGCGAAAGCCCTTCTGCGAAGCCTCCAGATGATACACCTTGATGCCACATGAGAAGTAACTTGTGAAAGGATCATAGACAACATATCGCCCTCATCACTTCTCAGAACCAGATACGCCAAGTATCCCCAACAGCCTATAATTATTGAGCACCGCGTCATAATTTATCCAGAGACAAAAACATATACCCCTTGGTTTCATGTTTCAGGCATATTCTTGTGCCGATCTGTACGAGAAGGGGATTCGGGATTCGGGCGTCTATTACGTCCAGATTCGGGGAACCACGTACTGGTACTTGAAAGTCTACTGCAACATGGATTCCAACGGCGGCGGCTGGACGGTAAGTCAGTTTCCCTGCTGCCCCCCTCCTTATTTTCCTTCCAGTCTCTCAAAAACCCTAGCTGATGGGGGAAGGGCACGAATGAAAGAAAAAAAAATTCCAATCTAAAAAGACATAAAAACACATCGTCGTGAAAGGTGGTCCTCGTTAATCATCCGGAAGCGAAATGATATGGCCCAATTATAGCTACGAATGTGTGTAAAGGCCTCATTACAACTCATAGCTTGTTGTTCTGGGTTTTATGACTCAGATGGTTGGTCTGTCATTTCCTTTTTATACTCCATTGTAGAAAGGTCATATAGGGTGACAGTAGGATAGGATTTACGCTCTAGCTCAAGGGTGGGCAAACTTTTTATCCTACGGGCCTCACGAGAAAACATATAAGCCTTCGTGGGCCACAGAAACCAGAAATAGGTGTAACTATAAACCAACATCTCAGTAGGACATGCAGCTGCCCGCAGTTTCTTTTAAAATGAGTTTTCCTGCAGCAGCTGGCGGGCCGTTCGAAATGCTGTCGCGGGCAGCATCCGGCCCAAGGGCCGTAGTTTGCCCACCCCTGCTCTAGCTGATCCTTTTTCATATCAGACCTAAGGTGGCTACTGGGATTCGTCTAGTTTAGGTCTGTTAAGAAGTGTTGCGAAGACTTTTTGATCACCCCTCCTATGAAAGAGGGAGAGAAGAAAAGCTTTCAAGACTCCCGAACAACATGAAAAGAGCCTAAGCCTCGCAATTAATTTCGAGAAAATCTATTACGCTTCCTACCAATAGAGAAGGAACTGCAGTCGTGAAAAAAGCGCTTTTGTACGAGACAAGAAGACTCATTGATTGAGAGAAGCTGGATGTGTAGAAAGCTGCCACGTCAGTGTGACGGAAGACGATGACTTCGGGAAATCTTTCATAGCGCAATCCCTTCTTCCCTCACTCCCTCCCTTCATCAAATTTTTGCTGAAATCGACGACGAACAAAAGGGGGTCAATAACTGCGTTTCCGAATTGATCTGTCGGCGTGTCTATCCCCTTACCCCATAATAGTTTTAAAATGCTCTTCATTACCCCATAATAAGAACTGCTAGATCAAAAAACCGTTGCACAGCCAAAATACAGTTAACCCTCGATGTGGCGAAGGGATCGAAGTTACACCTTGCAGTCTCACAAAAAGAGAGCAAATAGTAAAATGGGTTGAAGACATTATTGAAAGGTGACCCCCCAAACTTATTCAAGTTCACCTTTAACAAATAACAAATTTTGAGGGCAGAACGATGACGATTGAAGAGAAAATGGCAAGACGGAGTTCCTGAGAGGGAAGTGGACGCATATCGGACATATCCTGTATGCGAGAGCGTATGAGAAGGGAGGAGACCTGAGAGAGAGAGAGAGAGAGGTGGGTAAGGGAAGTGAATCGAGGGGAGTCGTGCGGAGGTGGAAAGAATCTCGTTCCAGAGGAGAACGGGAATAGTTGGGAATTACGTAATACGCGGCCGGAGGTCCACGATACGGCACGCGCGTCCTGTTTATGGGGAAACATATCGGGGTTCTTCGCCCTCTAAAACTTGCCCACATTATTCCTTCAACTCTGGCTATTTGGATCGACAGTATTTTACTGCTGAAGCACCCAGAGCCATCTACAAGGATAAGCTTTCTCAGTGATTTCACCGCCAGGGGTCAAGCAATTTGCGGGGAACTCGGAATGAAAAGCTTACCCTTGCCCATCCGATCCTCACGTTCAAATTTCTTCAGTTGTGTATACCATGAATAAGTATCAGCAAGGTTCGGGCACTTGAAACAGATCTTACGATCCAAGCAATCTTGGGACGAGACCGTTCCTAGGTTTTCTCCTTGAAATAAATTGGAATCTGACAATAGGAAAAAGTGAGATTGATCACTTAGTAAAATGGGCATTGGATATCAGTTATCATCCTTTAATACCTACTTGATTTGTCCAGCGCACTGACTTCCAGCCAAGGTTTTTTTCTTCTTCTTTCAAGGCATCCTACAACTTTTCCTCCATCATTCGTGTATGAAGCGATAAGACAGTGGATGCTCTGGAAACAGTCATTTTTTCTTCACTAGTTGCTTGGAGTCTCGAAGGACAAGAAAAATTTAAGCTTATTATCATAGTATTAACAAAGACCCCCATGTACAGCACTTTTTCCACTAAAAAGTATACCACTCTTACTATACTTTTGAACGCGGATATACCGTATTGCAGTATGTAAGGAAACAAGGCAACCCATGTGAAGTTTACAGAAAGTCATGGTAAAGAACGGAATGAAGGCACGTGAGTGAAGGCGATGAAAGACGTCAGTAAGCGCCAGACAGGTCCCCATCATCCCTGCTCGTAGGCTTTCACTTTCCAAATAGGGCTGGATTCATTTTCTTTGTAAGTCAATACCGTTAAAGATTCATCGTCTGGTCTCGTCAGCACACGTTTCACATGCTTCACAATCCCTCAAGATACGCGACGTGGTGCCGTATCCCATCTGTGGTCGATGTATCCATTCTCCCCCTCTTATCTCGGACTATCCCTCATACGAGCTTTCAAGACGTGTACACAATATGCCGGAAAGTAGATCAGCTCCCTCACCTTCGTATAGAATGGCCAATTTACTTCCCCCTTTTTATTTTCGTTCCACGCCCTGCTGTTCAATCACTCTCCAATGTAGTCTGGATGATGCCCGGAGCAACGCGTACGTTCTACTTTTCCTAGGATCCCCTAAAGGAGTCTTCAAGAGGGCGAGAACCCCTGGAATACTGGCGCGCTTCTCGGATCAGTCAATATCAATCTCACGCGTCTCGGAATAACTTTAATGACTGAGGACGCCATGATGGACCCGCAACATTTACCCCTCCCGACCTTTCAACTGAAGTGAAGCGATTAAAAGTTATCCTACGCTCAAGTGAATGACGGAGAAGCAGCGATGAGGCAAATATTGCACAGCTACGGGCCAGGGAAGCAAATCATGATCATTTCAGAACAGATATATAGGATGATGGAGCAAGCCAAGCCCACGCTTCTTCCTACGAGAGTTATAGAAAGGACTTTCCCAGGTGGGGGTACCTTCTCCTGCAGTGTGCAGGACAAGGACTGGGGCTGATGGACAGCGTCTTCATCAGTTCCTCCCGTCAATCTATACAACGAATTCTACGAGTAAATAAGGCCGATGGGTGGGTCTCTCTTTCTCGAATCGCCAACGGCACAGATCATTCATTCCCCAGCCGCAACGTTCGTCAAGGCCAGAGCAATAAGATGACGGCGAGCAACAATATCACGCCGAGTTCTGACACAATCACTCCTCGCGCGAAGGAAGTATAAGCAAAAGAGAAGCTGAGCCAGTAGTGCTGAACATCAATTGATACGAGATATGAGCAGGATTATGTTGAAGATAATGGAGAGAACTCGGAAGGACGCCATTTCGAAGAGCGCTGATTTACACTGCTTAAGCTCGATTCGCTCGCACGTTCCCTGCATTTCAAAATTTAAAAAAGGAAAAACGATGTAAATAGTGGGAAGTTTTAGATGGTGTAAGAGAATCGCCAGCTCACTCCGAGCGACATCTATGGATTTTCTAATGCGAGTTTCCCGGAAAAAGTAAATAATGGAGCATATCCTTTAAAATTACCAGATTTGCGAAACACGACTATTGATTTGTCCTTCGTCATCCCATCATTACAAACCCTTTGCACAGTTGGAAAGGTGGAATAACTCTCCTTTCATTTTTTGCTTCACTTCTCCCATCCAGGTCACGAACCCCTCCCTTTCGATTGTCCTGATGGAAACAAAAGTTTCCATCCGAAAGGCGCTTTTTTTCCATCTGTCTCAACGCCCGCAATACGTTCTGGAATCGTGTCTTCAAATTTTCAAGAAAGACAGGAAGATAAGTTGAGCAAGGTCTGACCTTTGTCCTCTCGTGATTCTGGTCTGATGAGGACCATTGCTGTATACACCCCGTTCTGTCTCCGTTTCGAAATTCGGACGAAAAAGGGAGCCCTCTATCCAGATGGCATCATCAATTTATTTCTCAGAAAAGGACAGGCAAAAGACCATTGAGATGTCATCCTTGAAAGTACCCCGACATCGACTTTTCAACACGTGGTCAGCAGTTTTGCAACTCAGGTACACGTCACCGAAGCCTGAGCTTTCGTGAAGAATTTCACGCCTATCAAACGGCAATTCCCACGAAAGAAAATATCGTACCCACCCACAGGCTGAGTGAAAAAGGTGAGAGTAATCTTGCCCATGGAAAACTCTCCAAAGCTGACAAGAGTGCAGCGACTTGATCATAGGAGGGAAGTGCATAAGTATCGGTAGGACAGTTGAAAATTTCATTGGGGAAGGCTGACGGACGACTGAGGACCTAATAGTGGCTCCACCACGATCTCCCCCTGAGCAACCGAACAGTTGAGTCAAAATGCTCCCATTCCATATCATGTCATAGTCATGGAAAACCAAGTTCTTATTCTGCTACTGGAAGGTCTCTCTCATGAAGGCGTGGCGACGAGGCATAATATCCTAATTCGTCTCAAGTTTTGCTTCCTCTAATAAGAGGAGTTGGAGCGCAACCAGGTGAGATGTTGGATGGTTGAAACCATCAGTCACGCTCCCCAGGATAAGATGATTGTGCATAAGCATGGCATCGGTGAAAGATCGGGGACATATCTCATTTCGCTCTCTACGAAGCTGTCCGCCTGTCTTCAACCGACGCCGCTGTTGTGTGCATACATACATCCGAGATGAATGGCAAGAGTGACATTGCGAATTATCTCAAAGAGCAAAGTGAGATGAGGGAACTAAAGAGCGCACTAATGGGCAAATATGGATGCATGACTTTCTCGCAAGCATGTGACGGACGATATGAATCCAAGCGCAGACTCAGCACACGCACACTAATGGCTAGCAGAAAGAAAGGCATTTGTTCCCAAGCTGAGGGAGCTAGCTCATACAAAAATGCAAGTAATGGCGTTGAGATCTTACCCGTGGAGAACTGAGACATGGTTCCACATTTAACGGTCTATTGTATATTATTCGTTTTCATGTATCGTGGGAGGACAGCTCGATAGAATGAGAAAGGCACGCAACAACTTCCTATGCAAAACAAAGAATCTTCAAAGAAAAGTCATGCAGGGAGTCCAGGGAACAGGACGAAATTACAGTAATTAATTTCAGTTTGTTCGTTATTGTATATTGGAATCGGTGACTGTGTTAATCACACTCCTTTTCATAAGTTGCAGTTTTGAGGGCAAAAAAGGAATGAAACGAGGCCGAGGAAGGACGGCAGAGAAAGGTTAAGAAGGCAAAGCGCTGGAGGGGGGAGTACTGAAAGCTCAACTTCAAAAGCACGTTTTCACCCTGGGGACGTTCTGTATAAATCTATCTCATCCAGATACACCTTCGACACTACCTTTGTACTTTCCCGTTATATCTTCTCCTTCAGGCACTTTATTGTCAAGCACCATAGTTTATTAAAACTTCCTCGAGGTTTATGCGTTTCAGGCTTCCCGCACTGCCTTCAACCTCATGTACCTCCCCTCTCGCATTGTCACTTTGCCATTATGATGAATCTAACGGTGCATAAATCTATTAAGTGTTTACATCTGCCATCTATATATTTTGACAGGTAATCCAACGCAGAGATGACTTCCACGAGCCCCGAGAAAGTTTCAACAGGGAATGGGATGACTATAAGCATGGATTCGGTGATCCATCCAAGGAGCTCTGGCTTGGGAACGAGAACATTTTCATGCTTACCAACTCAGAGGACTGCATTCTCCGAGTGGAACTGGAGGACTTTGACGGGAACAAGAGGTAACCTATCCAATACCATCGTGGCCTCTCATGATCAAATAATGACGAAATCGATCTATCGTCATGACGTAATTCCTTTTCTCAAGCCGCGAGTATCGGTATCGAGTGGCACCAGCAAGAAACATAAATAATGGTCCCCATTTTTCGGGAAGGGCAGGCAGTCTAATTATAATCATTAAAATTACATAGCATGGGAAGGGGTTGCAGAGGGGGGAGAAAAGAACGAGTTCGCAAAAAGTCGCAATGGCCTGGGGGACAGAGTTTTCCCAACATCGACCTCCAGTCCTATGGGAAGTAATGCGATAGACCCAGGGAAACTCTCTCGTAAATGTGGCATATCCTTGACTGGAGGAGATGTGTTCGGCTCTCACGCCATTAGCAATCACGAGCAAGGTCGAATGCCAACCACCGGATTATAAAACAAGGAGAGAGTGAGTGCATACCGGAGAACATTCTCCCACATTCTCATGCTGCAGGGTTGGTTGCAGCCCCAAAGTCTTGCGTCACCACCACGCACGACGGAATTATGATCGGTGGCCATAACGAACCGGGACAGACATAATGAGGGTGACGCTGTTACCCAGAGGCCGAAATAGAAAGTTTTCCTCCGTCTCAATGCTGAATGTGTTTCGAATACTTCGTCGGAAAAAAACCCCTTTTGAACATCCAGAAATGTCGGTCAAACGGGATCAAGCGCATCGGGCTGGAAAACAAGAACTTGGTTAGGGTCCAGAGTAAACGAGAAGACCGGGGCCATTTCAGGCCTTTCACTTACACACTGTCCGTCTCTTTCTTTTTTTTTTCCTACCCTTTATTGGCCTCACGGTTTCTCGGGGTCAGGTTCACGGAGACCCTGAGTAACGGGCGAATCCTGGCATCCGCCCAGAAAGATCCCAGGATTGCGTCACTATCTATAAGTCATCTTCAACGGAAAAGCTTGAAGACATCTTTTTCCATCCCACTAGGAGTAGAATCAAATTTGTTTTCTGCACCATACCATCTATAACTCACTCTTTCCCATAATAGTACCTTTCGTTCAATATATGATAATTCTTTGCCCTGGTCAACCCATCGGATGAGGGTGTAACCGAGAAATCAATTCCCCTGAGCATGAAAAACAAGTTCCTTTTTTTTATCAGAGCCACTTTCTATGGTAACGGAACCACTTTGTAAGATTTCGAAGGGACCGACCTTATTGACTCTCAGGGTATGGTCGAAACAGGCTTGCAGGGAAATAAATATTTTTTTTTTAAATCGCCATCTGACCTTATGAGGGTGGAGCTATAGGAGATTTTCGTAACCTCGCATTATCAATCTCTCCAGGAATAATGCAGCAATCAAGCTCTGAGCTCAAATGTCGTTCCTTGGCACTCAACAAGGGTCATATCTGCCAGAAATTACCTTGTTCTTTAGAAAACGGATGTTGCCCTGAGGGCACAGAAATCCAAGACTCCCAATATGTTGGAGCGTTTGCAATTTTTGTTACTTTCATTACTTTTACTATTTCTTTTACTAAATGGACGTTCTCGTTCTCCAGGAATTTGATTAGATTACAGTTCAGTCAAACTTGCAAGTATATCTAAAAATTGTCCTGCATTGAAGCAGCATTTTCTAGAGAACTCATTGAGAAAATTAGTAATTGGCCTAGTGTGACATTAATACAATGCAACTGCAACCCATATAAAGAGTAGGGCAAAAAAGTTCAGTTTTTCATTCCATTGCCACATTTGCACTAATTAAGATGTGTTCATACAGTTTAGGGGATATATGGTACTTTTCTTTCTTGATTGAATGCATTTCAAGTGTGGTCAATCCTTTTTATGCAATAACTTTCTTGCCCTGAAAAGTAAGAAATCACTATTTGCACATGCACATGACATGTACCATGTGCTAGAAAATTTTTTTTACTTTTTAAAAAATTGTTGTGGTATTTCCTTAGGGTATATCGAATTAGACCATGGAAGAGTGAAACCACTAATCCTCTGAATTCTATGAGCATACCTTCATTATTACATATAAAGAAATAAAACCTGTATACACAAGCTTATGTTAGTGACACATATACGATACTTAATGCATTGCTTCTCATGGGCCAAATATTAAGTTACAAGTTATGCCAGATTAGGAAAAACCTGTAACTTAAGGCAAAGAAGGAAGTCTATCCCAAGTGCAGGATATGGCTAAAATCCTGAACATAAGTCACCATGGGGTACCAATAGCCTCCCATCAGATGAGACTGTCTTTTCCATTTTTTTTGTTTCACTTCAAATGAGGCATGTGGAATAAATTATGTGGATGACAGTTAGTATCTTTTTTTAGTATTTTGATTCATGAATACGATGGATATGATGCAGAATTCAATATCATTGCATCAACACTGTTGAGGTGCTGATGCAAGCAGTGCTTTGCTACTATTTTCTTTCCATATTCTCAGAGATGATGAGATGGTTGGTCTTATTCAGCAACTTTTTAAATATAGGGATACCATTCAATTATTCCAGTTACATATCTTCCCTAGGTGATGAACTTGCCAGTTGCATGAACACTTCATATTCCAAAGAGCATCCAAATTCATGCAAACAATCTCACAGCCAGTACTTCTGTTAGGTCTGAGCTCATAAGCAAGCTTGCATTTTTTAAATGTATGCCATCAAAATTTCTTTCAGATTTGATGGTCCAAGGGGCTTCATAGAGATAAGAGGTATTAACTTTTACTTGGCCCAGCCTGCATGTAGTTTGTGGCCACATGCTACTAAAGTGATACTCATTCCTCATAATTTCTCCAAAATTATTTTTCTTTCAAAAGTTTCTCTTGATTAGCTGCATTCCTATACCTAACTCAAGAGTTCTTAAAATTTCATGCTGACAGGCCAATCTATGAATTTTAACAGTTGGTAAAATGAAACAAAGAAAATGCTAAAATCCCTTAGGCTTAATAATTTTTTTTTATACATGTTGTTTCTACAACATGTATAAAAAAAAATTATTGTGACATTGTGTAAGGAAGACATATTAGGCTAAACTTATAAGAATTTTCTTAAGGGATTTGCTGCTGCATAGATATAGAAGTCCCTAAAATTAAAAAAAACCTTGCAAGCATACTGAAATGTAAGTATCTTGAATTTCTGTCCCCTCTAGGCAGCATCTATTTCCTTTGGCAACTTTTGCACCCTTGACCCTTGTTGATGGCCATAGAATGAATGGTATTCATGGCTTGGTTGCTGCATCTTTCCTGATGAAACTGATATGAGGTTTAAAAAAAGGCATTCTCACCTGGTACCTCTGGTCCTCCATAGCTATGCTCCCATGGGTCAGATGGAAAAAAAAAAATTTCCATGTGTTCATTGGGAGAGTAAGCCCTGCAAATTTCATACAGATATAGTTTGGTCTCTTCCTGGGGTAGTTCTAAATTTTAAAAGGCACTTCAGCAACTACTAATATTTTCTTAATCTTGAACAGGTGGGCTGAATATACTACATTCAAACTCTACAGCGAGAAGGATGATTACAAATTGGAAATTGGCGGATATGAAGGAAATGCTGGAGATTCTCTGAATGATCCCTGGTATGGAAGCAACTTGAGCCCCTTCTCCACCTTTGATCGGTGAGTCTCTCTAATTTCGTTTTTGGCCACAGGGATGTCAGACAACCTGTCTAAAGGTTTTCATGATGACATGCATGCACGTGAATGAAGTTGGATCCCATAAATTTTCACTCAGAGTAAATTTTGTTTATCAGGGACAATGATCGGAGCAGTCTCAATTGTGCCAGCATGCTCAAAGGAGGCTGGTGGTGGAGATCATGTGGCAGAGGTCTCAATGGTCTGTACATTGCAGACCCCAATGATCTGCAAGCCCGACAAGGTAAATTATCCTTATCTTATGCTTTTTTCCCACACACTCTTCAAAGGTGGTGAATGAAATGAATAATTTAATGATTGATGTGGAATGCAGAGTAATGAATATTCAAAAAAATGTTTTTATGTAAACATAAAAGTCCGTGTAGGGAGAATAGATAAGGAATCTAACATTTCAATCAAAATAGGCCTTCATGGATCCCAGACACAGGAAAATAAATGGAAAGAGAAAACAACAGATGAGGTGTAGTATGAAGGTTGGACCTGGACATGAACATAGCACGACTCAAGGAGATGGTGAATACCGAAGTGAGTGGGTGAACTTGTGGAGTACAGATGCCATGTGCATATCAGGAGGAAAGCCCTCCCATGAAACATCTCAGCAGAGTAGATTCTCCATAATCAAAAAAGCTGTGACCATGTATGAGGTTCAGCTAGGAAATGGATAGGTAGATAATGAGAAAGGGTATAGAATATGGCTGATGCAAGATGTGAAACGAAGGAAGAGGCTTATAGAAGCAATTGCTAGATTGAAGGGTAAAATTTCTTACAACTCTAAGAAAGACTTCCCATGCCATTGCCATTTTAGCAGGAAGTTCTATTGAATTAAGCAGAAGATATTCAAGTAAAGAAGAGTGCAAGAACTATCAATCACCAAATATCAATTGGAGAATCTCCTTGGGGTTTCAGTCAAGGAAGAAGTAGGTATGACAGTGTCAGTAGAAAAAAGTTTCAGCATTAAAAATTAATGTGGTGCAAGTAACTTATTAATATTTTCAGCAAAGTGTACTGGGGAAATCTGTCATGCAGGACACAGAGAAAAAAATCTTTAGTTGAACAAACCAAAGGATGATTATAGTCCATAACCATTATGCAGCATACTGTAACAAATAGGTTATACTGGGTTATACCCCACTACTGATATGAAATATTATCTAATACAGTGGTGCCCAACCTGCGGTCTGCAGGCGAAAAGTGGCCCACAAGGTGCTTAAAAGTGGCCTGCGAGGCCCTAACCCACAATAAATACCCTTAGGTTTCCTTAAATAGTCTCCTACGATACTAGTGACTGGCCCGCAATGGCTGTGGGAGTGAGTTATTGGCCCCCTAGCCAAAAAGGTTGGGCACCACTGATATAATACAATGAGAATTTGTGGCTGATATCCAAATAGCCCTTCCACTATACTGTTAACATTTTTTGCTTCCACAATAGGAAGCCAGAGGGCAACATATCTTTCCCCCCTCTCTCTCCAGGTCAGCTTCCTGGAGAGGAAGGCATAAGTCTCTCATTGTCTCTCCTTTCAGCTATCCAGAAGAGACAGTAATTTGAAAAAGAGGTAAAATAACATTTGCCCATATAGCCCTTCTCTGATATTTTACCCCTTTACTGATATCTTCTTGGAGAGGAAGACATAAGTCTCTCATGGGTAGTCATGCTTGAAAGTTTTAGCAGTTTACCTTCATTAGTTTAAATTCTATAGTAGTTTTAGAGCTGTTGGTACTTGCAGCTAATTTTCTCAAAACATATGGACACCAAGGGGGGGTTCTAGTGTATCTGGACTGGACACCAAAAGGATTAATCATGTGCCTTTCACTTACAAGTTACAGGTGAAATTCCCTCCAGCTGCAAAGTTCATTTCTGCCTAGAGTAATAACAATGAACTTCTTTTGCAGGAATTGTCTGGTTTAGGTGGAGAGGCTGGGACTACACTCTGAAGAGGGCATCAATGATGATAAGACCACGAGAGTTTATGAAGGAAGAAAATCATTCCTAAAACTACGCTTCAACACCCACTTTTTTTCTGTATCCAATTAGAGGCTCCAAGTGACAAGGTGCAAAAAATGCATCGATTGAGTGATGGCATTGTGAGCGCAAGAGTTCAGAATGACTTAGGTTATTTTATGAGCTATGAAAGTGGAGCAGTGATTGATGTGTGATCCAGTTTTTTTTCCGTGGATATGCATAGGGTGCGATTTCCCACATCTTATGTTATTTTATGATAGGCCAATATCACTTTTAATCCCTGCCAGACATGCTATTTCATCTGAAACTTTTCATGCAAGATCTCAACTCACACAAATCTCATACGCTTTCTCTAAAGGTAAATGGGGGGAAAAAAAGCACCTATCCAGTGACTCTGTCTAGACCAAGCCCCAACTTTCTTTGCGTAAGAAGACCATTAGCATTTCAATCAGCACTATACCCCTAACCAACTTTCTTCACAGGGTGATTACTATATTGTCTTAGGGTTACAAAAAATTGTAAATGGCAGTTTCATAATTCATGAATCTATATCAACCAATATGGTTCTCCTTTTCTGCTCAGGTGAAAAGTGAGATTAGAGTGTGCCTAGTCAGGCCATCCCTATGCTACTCTGCATATTCCTAGAGTCATGATTTGAAAAAAGCCAGCATGAAATGGCACAGGCAATTAATTTTATAGCTGCTAGATTGTTGCAAGCATGAGCATATTATGAGAATGCTTCCCTCTCTAACATGTCAATTGCCAACTCTTTTTCTAAAGCAGACAAAATTACAAATTGATAAATTAAAATCCTTAAAGAAAAGGAACCACCTCAGCATATTGGTTGATATAGAAAAGTATATTTACTAGGCCTACACCATTCCAAGTTGAAGCCAAAGCCAAAATGATGCCCTTTTGTTGCCAGTAGATCATTACCTGCAAGTGCCACCCTCACAGAGCCACATGACAATGAATGAACCCTTTCTTTACTTAGCAACTATTATCTAAAAATAACCATACAGGAAATGAAAGGCTGATGTCCATGAGCAGTCCACAATATAACTTCAGGAAACAGGCTATTCCTGCTCCTAAGATCATCCACTTGATTCTTCGAAAAAATGTTAGAAATTCTACCATAACAAACTGCTATTGTACTGATATGAGGTAATGTGACTGAACTTGCCAGTGTATAGCTGAAGCATTTAGAAAGGCAACAAAGGGTCATCACTACAAGAGAGAGTTCTTCTCTTGTACCTGCATTACGAGAATAAATCTGTTGAACCTGTTGGGATACTGGCTTTCATTAATTACTGAATACACCACCACATGCCAGTCCACTTTCAGCTTTGTCACTTAAGATTCACAATCAGGTCAAAAGAAAGTTAAAGCCATAGCTTAGATTGATTATGTCTTGATCATCGTGAGTTCAGTAAACTGATTTGAGCTTTGAAAAGATACAGAATCCATTTGTGACATCAACAACTTATATTTGCAGCAACCCTTTCTTTATCTTATCCTGACATGTAACTAAACTTGCACATGATTAGGGGAATCATAAGGTGACTGATAGTGGAGTCAGTGGTTTGAATCTGCAAGGAGGGGCTTTGAGGGATATTGGACCTCAACAACCACTGCCACATTTTAGGCTGGATATTGAGTAGCATGGCAGGTGTCTATAGTAGAGATCTACTCTTTTTCCACCATCAGTCATGGGCCATGATCCACTCATGAAAACTTAAAATCTAAGAGATGGGTAATGGAGAGCTGGTATTCTACAACTCCTTTCTATGCACGTTTTTGCTGTCAATTTAAGCAAGTAGTGAAATGATACACAGATCACATGAAAACTGTTGCAAAAAAGAAGCATTAAGTCAGTCAAACTCTAAATTATAAAAGGTGAACATCGGGGAATCTGATAGATTGAGAATGCAAGAAGCAATTATGATAGACAAAGACAAATGCAACTTGTTTCTTTTCCTTTCCTGTACTTACCACCACTTCCAATCATAAGCTTTGTTTTCTGAGAAGGAAATATTAGCCTAATTCTCAGATCTGCTTCTTATTGAGAACTCCTGACATTCATTGGGTCAGATAATATAGTGGGTCATATAAAGCCCAAATAGAACTTTTTTTTCAAACTCTGTTTCACTGACCTTTAGTCAAATTACTTTTTATACACAGGCATAAGTATAGGAAATGAAATACAAGGGATCCAGTTACATCCTGAATGATGGCAGGAACTTCAGCAAAGCTAGATTCTGCAGAGGCAGAGCATCAGTTCAGTGTCTTTTAGTATTTTTTGATGGCTGGAGGGGTCTTACCAATGGACATCTAATAAAGAAATCGGCTGCATATGTTAGTAAGAAATTGTCTAGATTCATGGAGTGCAAATGAACAATTTCACCCTACCATCAGGAATAAACCCCTTGGACAATTTATAGATGGCACCATTCTTCACTATAATGATTGGCCACACAAAAATAAAGGAACTATGAACACCATCAGACAATGACTGAATGGGAAGTTCTGGTACACTTGTTCCACAGCCCTTACCTTCCTTCATGCAAATTTTATGGATTTGCTCCCATGAAGCATGCTTTGAGCGAGATACAGTTTTGCACTGACAAATAAGTGAAATATGCAGCACTCCAGATATGTCACTAATGGTGATAGAAGAGTGACTACACTTCTGACTGGAGCAAAAAACATGCTTCTTCCATGTGAAGTAGAGGGTCATTCTTTTTGCTCTCATGGAACTTGCTTACCATGTTGTGTGAAATACCTCTGCATTGACAGGTACTCACACAGTATGATATTGCATAAGTGTTAGTTGATAGGATGGCAGATTTCCATAGAAACAACATCAAATATCCATAGCAAGAAACATCAACCTTGCTCATTATGGGAGCTTTGTAAAACCAAATGGAACCAAGTCACACAGAAGCTCACACCACCATACAAGAACTTGGTGAGTGAGCATGACCATAAAGTCATCAAACCTTCATATTCCTCAGCAAATCCCGTCTCACCCCAATCAATGAAGTAGTAGGATGAGTTTAATTATCTCATTTAACAAAATAACTAACACTTGGACCCACAACTAACACTATTCATTTCTGCTAAATGATTAGAGGGAGAATAATCATAGGTGATGATGGAAGGAAACAGATCTTGCACCAATCATCATATCTCAACCGAAAATCCATTGACGATAGGAGAGCAAATACCATTGAGATCTCTCTCTAGCACAAAATTCACCAGAAGCAACCTAAGTCTGCATTGTTGGCCACATGTATGCCTATTAACTTTCACCTCAATGAATGCAATGTATTTGAGCTAATATCACACAGTAACAATTCAGACCCTCAATTTATTGTAAAAGAACTGATCCAAGTTATTCTGAGGATGCTCATAATTGAACAATAGAAAGAAAACAGAGTTTTTAAGTGTAAAAACCTTATCACCATACATAGCCTTTTAACCCTTTAATGCATTATTTTTCTTTTTCTAGCAAAAAAATCTGGTAGGTTTCACTCATGTTCTAGAACATGGGTCAAGTGGAAAAAAATTTTTTAAATCAAAATTTGTAAGCAGTAGACTTGAAAATGTTATTGTTGCTCATTTCCTACTAAGAGCATTTTCAGCTTTCTAGCCCACACTGCATGGATGCTAGAGAGCTCAGTTGGTCCATTAACATTCATATATACCTCAACACAAAAGGAAATGTAAAAATATGGATGAGCCTGGGCCCTGGATTAGCATAAATTTTAAGAAAATTAAATTAAAAAAACATCAATCTACCATACAATGAAGCCAGATTGGTTTTAATTTGCTTGCCACCAGGAGTGTATGGCACCTAGCAACTGCATAGTTTCTAGGTATGTTTCTAGCTACCAGACTGTTGCACATCTGCTATCAACAGATTTACCTCAGGAGCTCGCTACTTGCACATTCTAAAAATGCTTATTTGGTATGTAGCATATCTACAACATCATGCATTAAAGGGTTAATTGGGTCTAATTTTTTGCAAGATAATATTATTGCCATATATGTATTTTTTCCTCCATTTTAAATATTTTAAAATAAAAAGCTGAGGAAGCCACACTAACCTGGATGGATAGGAAAAAAGCAAATTCAGTGCACCCATATAAAATATTCTTGAGCTACTTGGAGCCCCTGAAGGTAACAGGACTGTTTCCTTTTCCCAGTTTCACAGCATATGTGACTACGAGGGGCATTCAGAAAGTTTCCAGCCTAAGGCACTTCCAGTTGTAATACACCATTCATATTTTTTTACTAGAAAGACAGATGCCTTTGATGATGAATGAAAAATTGACAACTCATTTGTCGATGATAGAAAGCTTCTATGAATTTGTTTCAATGTGCTACCAAAGGGTACGCTGAAGGGATATTAAAACTGAAACAAATGCTGTGATGAATTTTCTAACCTTGAAGGAGATGGTTTCTCAGCAGATCTTTAGGCAGCAGAGAGGATACTGTATTATTGACAGTACTCTTCAAGATCCATTAGGAAAATGATTCCTTCAAGGTTAGCAAATTCATTACAGCATTCCTTTCAGTTTTAATATCCCACAGCAGACCCCTTGGTAGCCCATTGAAAAAAATTAATAGAAGCTTTCCATCATAGACAAAGAAGTTGAAAATTTTCCATTCATCATCAAAGATATGTCTTTCTATGAAAAAAATATGGTGCATTACAACTGGAAGTGCCACAGGTCTGAAACTTTTTGAATGCCCCTCATACACTGAGAGAAACTATTAGTGCCTGTTTAGTGGAGATGTAATTTACTTCCATTAGAGCTTCTGTCATTCTGCCCTCCCTCTGAGTCTCAGAAACAGTCAAAGCTACTGTGTCCTATTCAATTCTCCTGGGGGTTTGAATTGTTGTACATGAAGTGAAAAACAATATGCATGGCAGTAAAAATGGCATGCCAGCTTAAAAATGTGGAGAAAATCAATCTCATTAACATGTTGACCGCCACAAAAATGTTGGCCTATTGATTTTTCCATTCAGTGAGGCGCACCAGTGCGCCTCATGGTGGACAACCTGTTAAATATGAAATTCTTTCTTTGAGTCAGGGCTTCAAGGTATTCATGGCTAAATGGAAAATGACACATTATGTAATTTTCCATTTCACCAAAGAGAGATAAAACTCATGAGAAGACAGGAGTGAATGTGGGAGTGGGGCATTGGGAGACTGCATATTATAATAGTTTTTTTTGTCAATATTAAACCAAACAGTAATTGGAAACTTACTGGCTTGGTCTCTCCCCAATAGATTTATGTTGATTTAGTTATTGTCTGTATTGCTCCCTCACTAGGGGCCCTTATCAGCATTTGCAAATGGAGGGATTGAAAACTTTGTATCAGTATCACTATATGAAAGGCTTGGTCCCTCCCCAATAGATTTATGTTGATTTAGTTATTGTCTGTATTGCTCCCTCACTAGGGGCCCTTATCAGCATTTGCAAATGGAGGGATTGAAAACTTTGTATCAGTATCACTATATGAAGAATCTCCAAGGTGTAGCTTCTAACAATAATGACATGTGCACACTGCACCTGAAGCTTTTAAATAGTGATACTGAATATTGCTCATCACCTTAGATTGAAAAGTAATGAAAGAGCCCATGACAAAAGGACTTACCTTCATGATATTGGTCACTATGAAACATTGCAGCTGAGGATTCAAAGGGACTGGATGAGATGAGAGGAAATTTCTTCCAGTTTTTGCTAGCCATCCTCAGTTTCTTCTCAGTTTCACTCAACTAATGACAAAGAAGATTAAACATATGTTTCCATGAGTCATGAAGACACACATAGACTTATCAGAAACATAGCATGCTTCAAAGCATGTTATGAATTTATACAGTTTCAAGCTTTTGTACAACAAAGCCATCATCTACAGAGATCTATCAACAATCAGCCAACCATTAATCATGGAAGCTCTAGCTTTATAGGGTGGTTCAAAAAAAAGTTTCTACCATGATTATAAAAGGCTCCACCATTTTGATGGGCCATATAAGAGGTGTAGAAAAGATTGTCTTGTTTTATTTCTGAACAATTCTCTGAGCCATGTATTGTCCTGTTACACAGTTTACAGGTGGAGCAGTACACATTTTTTTAAATCACCATTGATCACTCGGTTAACAGCAGCACCCTCTATTGGGATACAGCGTCATCTTGCAGAAGTGAAAATGGTCTCTTAGACTTATGAACCTCTGTCAAATATCTGCTGGATCCAACTGTCCCTGGAAAAGTTAACACTGAAAAATTCATTGATTTCTGAGACGATTGAGCACAGGTAATCACCTCACTTGTGGTGGAATGATCCACCTCTAAGCACCTATAATTCACTTCTAAATGGGCATTGCATGAATTAGGCAGGGATGCTGAAAAAAAGCTGATAAGCATTTCAACACCTTGTAACTCTCAAATATCGATTGTGTATCCAATGTAATTTTTTTTGCTACATTTAAGAACCTGTGTTTCTCCCATAGAAGACAGTAGAGCATTTTTTTTAACCACCCTATATAGTAAATACTATACACTCAAAACTTCCACAGTTGGAAGGAATTGGGTGTAAAATACCAGCTCACCCTTTGGCGAACTTCATCCATAGACTGGAAGATACCATTGACATCAGACAAAGATGGACCCTCAAGAGGTCGTGAGAGTTCCCATGCAACAGTGCGTCTCCAGGAAGGATCCTTTCGTCTTGCCATTATGTGAAATCTTAATCATAAACAGCTGAAAGAAA